CAAGAGTGGACTTCGTCATCGGGGTCTTGCAGAAGTATTCCGTGCCCTTAGTCACAGGTGTGACCTGGCCTCATTTTGGGGTTTGGAACGTTGCAAGTTCGCGCGTAATCAAAGTCAAAAAGTACCTCTCTGTGCTGCTCTCTGGCATTCTTTTCATGACATCTCGTAATTTGGCAGCTGTTAGCCGTGCGTGACCGCAGTGAGAGACTTCGTCTGATACGGCCAATCTAGATGGCTCATGGCTGTTGCGTGACCTGACCTGCTTGGCCGGGTCATCTCGAACAAGAATCCGCCCGGTGCGAACACCTTAGTGGTGGAGCAAGGCAAACTTGGTACAGCTATTGATTGCAATGTCTATCGCACAGTACGTAACGTTTCCAGGTGACGATCTCTGAAGGACCTTCACTACACAGAGGGGGGATTCCCATTCTCTGTAACCCACCATGCTTTCAGCTCCTCTGTGGGGGCCCAAAGACCATGGGAGTTGGAGGAATCCTGCATCAAGGAGCAGCTGGGAGCAAAGATTGCTCTGAGTGCCCTTAATGGGGGCTGCGCCCAGTGGACATTGCCACCTGTGAGCTGAATCCGCCTTCAGATACCCCTTGTGAAATGGGTGGGGGGAACCCGCGGATTCTTTGCCATGTGTTGACGTTATCGCGCCATTTCATAGAAACAACAATTTACAAGAGCTATCCACACCTCCGAAATGGTGGAGGGGGTACCGTCACTGTGACACTATGTGACGCTTAAGGGGGCACCCCACTGGAGTGGGGATGTGGTACCCTGTATCCGAATGAATCACAAGGAAGTGCAACAATAAACCCAAGATATGAAGTGCTGAAAGAAGAATAAAGGAAAGAGCATGCCCATAAACTTAAGTTAATCGCTTACGTCTCAGCAGAGTTTACGAGCAGCCCGGGCCGTCATCCCTGCAGCTCAGAAGCAGCAAGGCGTCTAAAGCAGAGCATGAACAATTAATGGCGTTCGATTGGGGGGCCCCTGGCCGGGGCTCGCACCGACCCGCGCGAAACCCGCCGACCAACCGAACCAAAAAAATGGGAAAACATGCGGATCCAACCCCCCCAAATGCCGCCCAGTGAGAGGGTAACTCCTGTCTCCGTCCTTGGATCAAGTCGCCCCAGGCCTCCATAGGAAAACAATAGAAAGTTAACGAATGAATCAATGTGACAGCGTAGGGGTTGCTTGGATGTTCAGCTGATTCAAGGCTTCGTGCCCAGGCATGCAGATACAAAAGTGTAAACGCAATCCAATTAGCATTCAGGGTTTGCTGAGTTTCCTCTTGTCCTCTGTTGGTGTTTTGCATTTGCAACCACAAATGACAGAGATATTGTACAAAACCTACTTGGAATTAGGGATCTTCTTGTCTGCCTGATTAGAAGCTGATAACAGGCCTTGGTACATCTAAAAATCCCAACTTGAATTTTGGATCCGTGATTTCTCAACCAGAAAGTGTTTGCTTTCGTAGACAAGAGGCTTCAATCAACATCGTTCTAGACGTGCATGTTTTTTGGACCGGGGATGACAGGAGGGATGCGGTTTACGGTAAAAGATGGCTGGCGTTCTTCAACGTGCTTAGACTTCTAGGTTGTGTCCGCGCTGCTCTTAAGTGTGATGAGCCGTGCACGCCCGAATTAGAGAGAGGTTTGGTAGATTTTGCCAGCAATGGACCAGGAAGGCTTGGCCTGAAGTTCCCAAAGCACTGCGTTGCTTGCTCGACATGTCCTGGTGGACGACCGGAAGAAGTTCACACTCCCAGGAAGCTTGAACGTGAACAAAGCAAAGTACGCGCAGACAGACGTTCCAGGAGGTAGGCAGGCAGCAGGATACAAGAGTCAGGACATGACGGAGAGAGCATCAAGCTAGATAAGTGAGGGTCGCCAGGTGATAGAGCCTGAGGAGCACAGCCCTCATTTGAGATAAGCGTAGTGGCCAGACGTATGCGGTCGCTCTTGGAGAATTAAGGATTGGGAGTTGCTGTGGCGTAAATGACGGGAAGTGCATGATGAACATAGCTGACCCACCACAACCAAGAGCACAAGTGGCAGACAATGTGCTGATAAGAAAACCAAACGTAGAAAGGCCATGAAGCCGGGTCACTCGTTTTGGGGAAGTAATTGTCTATTCCATCTGAAAGGTTTGGCTTATGTCTTGAGCCTTCGTTTGCTTTGTTGTCGTTCTCTCACATGTATATACAAGCAAATGCTTTTGGAGATGCCGAAAGCCTTGTTTGGGACACGGTTGGAAAGAAGGCACAGCAGCTCAGAAGAAGCCGACACCGAGATGAGTGCAAGGGTTGCCATACTGTTTCCTACAGTGTGGTCATGGCATGTATGTTTGGTTTTGGAAGCGCTCCGATGAATTTCTTGTTTAAATAAATTTGACCCTCTCTCAGGAGGGGTCCATCTAATCGCTAGGAAGGGGATGGCACAAATTTCCGCCCCAGCCAAAACAACTTGGGGCGAGCCTGGGGGCACTGTCGGCTTGCAACGGACACTAAGCAGTTTCGCACACATTCCCAACCTGTCAGATCTACACGGTGCCCTCTATAACGCAAGCCGGCTCTAGCTAGGCTGGAATGATTGGGCATCCTGAAATTATGCGGTCTTGTGGCTTAAGGTGTCTGCGTTGTCAAAACAATTTGGAAATAGCACTCAGTTGGGCGGCGTGGCAGCGACGAGTCTTCCAAGCTTTTGCGTGACCTCAGGAGTGTTGTGTGCAAAGGTGCTCTTAGCTTTGGTCTGGAGCAACGTGGATGAGCACAGCTACACTCAAGTGATTCATTGGGTACCGATACCAGGCAGGCATCCTGCACATTCTGCTAGCAATACCCGTGTACAGTGCCAAGGCTCCCAACATCATCCAATAACATGTTGGATCTTGCACCATGTCCTGCGTTGCCAGTTGCTGAAGTTATGTGAGTCCGCTGTCTCATGACCAGCCACCTGTCCCAAAGCCCAAAGCCGATTCATGCTGAGCTATGCAGGTTTCGCGATCAGTGGTCACAACATTGACCTGCACTTCCTGGTCAATGACATCTTCATGTCACTGAGCTCCACTATGAGATGCAATGCTTAGCAGACTGCGCATCAGCAGATAGTTACAATCAGAGATGGCTGAGTGCAACCTGTGGAGCATCTGTGCCGCATTCCTGCACCGCAAAGACCTTAATAAGGTGCTTCTTCTTTGGTCTTGCAATCAAGGAGGCCGTTCTATGTCAGCTTCGCAACTTCTACTCTTGAGCTCCTGAAAGGTGTATTCGACACAATGTTGCATTACTGCTTAATGATTGACTGCTGTGGCGATATCTTGCACACTAAAGGTGAGCGCACGCTAGGAGACATCAAAGATCATCAAAGAGGAGGGTTTGACGTTCCAATTCTTGTCTATGCTTTTTGCTTGGAGAAGGGTAGCTCTTAAAATCCAAGTGGTTATGTAATCGTCTTGTGCTGTGCTATCACTGAAATTGAGCTTTGAAGCAGAAATTCAGACGTTGCCTGGAGGTCACTGAAGCCTTGCTGCCTGGCGGGTCACTCTCACCAATTTCGCGTGCATTGAATCCTCTCCTGGCTACGTACCTTGGCGCATAACTTCCAAATCACCACAGCACCTCTGGCAGCGAGTACTCAGAAGAACATCAAATCAGAGTTGTCGTTTAGATGACTTAGATGCTTGAATGCTGCGCAGATGCTGAGACTTTATAGCTCTGTTGAGTAGCTGCTACCAATCAGTAGTGATTTCCGCTGAATTTGGGTGGGCTTTTCCCTGCGAACTGCAGGTTTGGTGGCGTCCCTGGCCAGCATCTCTTTCAGGGTGGCCAAGCCATTACTTTTGTGCTCGGCATGACTGGACGCTACATGTGGAATGCTTTGGACGAGCAAGCTGAGGTTGTGGGCCCAGCCCTGTTTTACATGCTCTTTGCCACGGTCTTTCACGCAGCAGGTGGGATGTGGGGAGACTTAACGGGAGGAGCTCGGCTTTGCATTCAAGAAATTCACCTGCGATGGCTACAGTCAAAAGGAAGCGTCGAAGGGAATTCACATCCAATTCAAAAGACTGGCTTAAAGCTAAGCGACTTTCCAGGAAAGCAACATGTCCTATCGGAAAGTTGACCCGCATTCAACCCGTGGGAAGCCGAGCCGAGCCAAGCATGCCAAGCCAACCCAACCAAGCTCAGATGGCATTTTGGGCTTGCTGCTTTCCATCCAGAATGGAAGTCCAGTGAAAGACTCCCACAGCAAGCCAAAGCCAAGCAAAAGCCATGCTTTGTTCGTCGCGAAGCCAATGCCAACCCAATGACGTCTTCGAGGGCTACCTTTTACGTTGCTGCCAAGAACTTGCTTCATTCATTCATCACAAAAGTTTTCTAGGTTAGGCAGAATGCTTGTACCACCAACCTCCGGCCAGACCGAGGAAGCCCATCCAGCCCACCTTTTTTTCCGGGGAACGCAATTGCTTGAGTGTCAGTTCGCGCTTTCTTCACTCTCGTGAGTGAGTGCGCAGGTGCTCTGGACCAGCCCATGTGCCTGCCGGAGAATTACTCCAACAGCCACGGCATCCACTCTTCGGAGAGCTCTGATGATCACCATAGAAGACTTGCCGGAGGCCGTAATGTGAGTTGCTTTGTCCCTGCCGGTATCATCTGATTCTATGTGGGGATTCCACGCATTAGGGCAGACCTGCGATCTACCCAGGGATTGTTCGCAAAATCTTGAGGCGGCGATGCCATACCTGCAAGCGCGTATGCGGCTAAGTGCAGCCTTGGAGCTATCTACAAGGCAGGGAAGCTTTGATTGCATGCTTGATTTTTGAAAGTGAGCCATGTTGGCATGGATCGCATGCACCACTTGACTGCTCTGTCAGGGCTGGGGAGTCCCCACAGCGCCTGAAGCTGAGAGAAAATGCAGTACACTAACTTGTTGGAGTTGGAGTGAGCAGCAAGAGTGTCTGAAACTTTGAGGACGGACATTTCGCTGGCTTGGATGTTCGCGCTGCTGATCTTTGGTGCAGGTCATGCTGCAATCAACTTCCTGTCGCCTGGCTAGACTTGTGCAAAGCAGCCACACCACTTTTCCTCCTGCTCTGTGTGGCCCGGCCCTTTCAAGCACCACTGCAGGCTGTTGCTTGCCATACTGGACGATGCGCTGGGCATGATCATCATTGCAGCTGCTTGTCTTCAGTTAGGCTTCACTAACGAGCTTGTTGATTCTTGTTTTGAGGCCTTCTACCCTGACCCGGATGCGCCAGTGGATCCCATTTGGTTGCTTCTGGTGCTTGGTGTGCCTTTGCTTCAGTCAAGCTTGATGCACAGAGACCAGCCTGTGTTGCGAGTATGCCGCTCAACATATTGGCGATGATTTAAAGTTTATAAAAGTTGCAAGCTGTCCGTTTCAGAATCACTTCATGCTAGTTTACCGCTGACATTCGCTGATAAAACATGCAGAATGCTTGACAGTCTCGTCTCGCACGGCTCTTGCTTTCCGCAGTGTTTAGACGTCCTGCAGGCCAGCATCATTCAGGTTCCAGGTGCCCACATCCCGCGTGCAAAGAAGTATGAAAACGAGGACGGAAGGAAGCGGTGTTTGCAATCACGCTGCCCCTTCCCGAAATAGCCCTGCAGTTCAAATTCGGGAAAATAATCAACATCGAAGCGGAGCAATATCTCCCACCATACCCCGCAAGACTGGCGACCGTGTTGGGACCCCCCGGCCTTGCGCGCAATCATTCCCACTTCGTCAAACAATCATGGCTTAGGCAGGGATGCTGGGTACCACACATCTGTGACAAAACAGACGGGCCTGACTTATGCAGATTGCAGCAAGCTTGCCCAGGCGATGCTCGTAACGTTCACACTTCGGAAAGCCATGGTCAGTCGATGGCAGGCGCTACAGTGCTACAATACCAAGATGTTCCCTGTACAGGAGAGGATGTGTATCTTCTCTGTGTTGCAAGCTCAGTGCATATGTGAAGCTGCGGCAACCGTAGATTCACGGGTCGGAGTGTTATGAATGACACCGCGCAGAACACTATCGGGGAATGTTCAGCTTCACATGCATGACATTTCACGAGCACAGCTTGTGTGGGCCTTTCAGAGTGTGCAGTTCTACATCCTCCTTGCGGCGCCCATTTCCTGGATCGGTCTCTTCAAGGCCCATGTTCATCCTGCCCTGTCGCCTCTTGCTTGCACAGGAATATTTGAGGGTGGCGATTCGTGGTATGGCTGATGAAAATGTTGATGCAGATAGACATGGTCTCTAGATGATCTCAGATGCATTTTGAATTCGAATGGCAGCAACAAACACTAAGACTTAAGATCTTATTCCATGATTGATGTTCTATGCATTTCGACGCCTAGTTGTCTTCATGGTCTGGAGCGCCTGCAAGACTTACAGAGTTAAACGATGCACCACATGAAGGCATGCAGGGCAGGCACAAAGCAGCTTTTGCTCAACATCAGTTTGTTGCGCCACACGCCTCTTTTGTAAGGCTAGTCTTCGTTGTGCCCTTCATGCCGGCGACGCATGCTATTGAAGCATCAGGTCCGCATGACCTAGGCGGGGATGTTGGTGTTACTGCCATGATAAGTCAAGAGGGTCCCATGTCGCCTACTTGCTGAAGTATCGTGCCCGTGAAGCTGCGCTACTCTGCACATTTGAAACTATTTCTTCGAGAAGGTGTGGGTATCGGGGATGAAGGGCAAAGGGTTTAGCACATGGTGCTGCAAGCGGGCGGGTGTTGCAGAGTTCAAGACCTTGCAGGCATATGATGTTGATCATGTACTTCTTGCACGTGTGGTAGTCCATGGTCTTTGTCGCTTCTCTGCTCTGTGTCATCCACCTCAAACGGCTGGCGCTAAAGCCAACACAATAGCAGTAGCAGCAGTCTGCCTGCGAGGTTGAAGTACTGGAAGTAATGACTCTCTCGCGTCGAGGCCGCGTCTCGCACTCGCCGACTGAGAAGGACAATGAGGAGCCTCAGCTGACGTCTACAAGACATCATAAGACAGGTAGATGGCATGCCCAGCTGTTGTCCAGATTTACTTTCTCATGACCAGGAGATCTTCCGCAAACGTTCTTCTGCAGATGCCTCAGTGGGTTGGTGAATCAAGCCATCGCTGTATTGTTAAAGCATCTGCCGCGAAAGCCAGATCCGCGCATGTCAGATTTTCAATAAATTTACAGCTTTCTGGACTGTCTGATTTTAATGTTGATCAATATTGCAGACACGCGATGTAATTGGAGGTAGCCCAACGAGAGTTGTGACTAAGTGAATTTTGTACTTGTGTGCAAACGCCTGGCATCAGCGTGCAATGGCATCAGCCATGTCAGCTCGGCTGCAGATCTTGAGCCTTAAGCCTGACAAGCGAGAGCCGACTCAAACCGGGCCTTCATGGCTGACGGGCTGAGGTATCCTTATCGTTGCACGAAGCTTACGTTGTAGCATCAAGGAGGCGGGTACGAGACACCTCCTAGCTTTGCACTCTACAGTCAACGATTCTTTGACAGTCGTCCAATTCTTGCGCTTTCTATCTGCATTTTGTCTCCTGCGAGTTTGAAGAACATCTTCGGCAAGGAGGCCTGTGGGAAGATCTGTCAGGTGTTTCTTTGCTTCTTGATGAAGCAGGTAATCATACTTGATGCGGGGCTTTGTATTGGTGCATCACAGTATCTCGGTTCGTGAGCTTGGTCAGGAGCTTCTGATCATATTACTGTGTATACTTGATCTAGGCTTGCATTTGTCAGCATGTATGTTTGGCTTGCTTGGTTTGAGCAAGAATTGCCGGCCGCAAGGAGCACGCCCCGCTGCATGTTTTCGAACACACGCTGAAAGTTCCGGTTGATTTTGGTCTTGGCCTGAGTTGATTGATTGTCCCGGCCTGTGCTGGAAACAGCCATGTACATCATGTGCAGAATGAAGCAGGCTTTACATGCAGAAAGTCAGGCAGCAGATTTGAACGAGATAACCTATGAGGATTGCTTGGAAACATCGTTGCAAGCTAAGCGAGCTCATCAACGCAACAGAGCGACATAGAACACACAGGGGCTGCAGTCCCAGGGCCCGAAAGGGTATGTCGGCTGAACCAGTTGCAACGCGAGCACCTGCAAGAGCATTTCCCTCACCCTCAAGTTTCAGTAATCTTCAGGACGTCTTTGTCCATCGTACAGCTCACCGCCACCCTCCCGCCCCCGAATCTAGACACGAGGATTGGTTCTGCCTTTCTTGCGGGGCTGGATGCGTCCTCTTGTTGAAATGCTTGCGCTGAGCTTGGAATTTCTTTATCGCTCAAGCGAATCCAGTGGCATAAAGCCTGGAGAAATGGGCCGTGCGCCATGCGCAAAACGGGATTCAGCCGCAGCCGAATCAGATCGGCTTATCCTCGGGACCCTCAATCGCTGAAGTGGATGCGATGTAAATTGCATCTTCAGCATCGTCGCCTTGCCCCAAGTTTTTCTTGCACCTGCGGGATCCAATGCGAGACAAAGCTGCTAGGCTCGCATGAACATCATGAACGGAAGATATCAGAAGGGCGTGCACCATGCAGAGGGGTGCTCGATGAGATTGTTGCTGCCAGCAAACTTCAGCAAACAAGTGCTTGTTCAGAAAGATTGTGTCGGAAATCTGAAGAAGCACGAATTACCTTGGTAGCTTGAACCTTCGGCTTTCCAGCCAACACCTACAATCTCTCCTGGACTTGACCGTCAGCTTCTCTGTTTTCGGGTTCACTTCTTGAGATGCTGACGCCAGGAGCATGCAGCCGCGACAATTGACATGTGCAAATCATCCCTAAATCATGTAAGGCACAAGCAGTGCCCATCAGAGGTTGGCGAGATGGAGAGATTGCATGTTGACTCCAGGGAAGCCTCAGTTTTGCTCTTGACACACAAGCTGGTAAAACATCAGGAGCTTGAATGGTAGTGTTGATTTTAATTATCTTGTGTTACCCTGACCACCTTTAGTCTCTCTGTGACGCGGTTACGACCTACCCTAATTTGAGTCGAGTAAACTCAGCTCAACCAGGATTTTCAGTATCAGCTGCCAATCCGCAACAGAAGACAATTCGGGTCGTGTGGCGGCCGTCAGGCAACAAGTAATGCATGTGAGAGCCGGATGTATTTTGGGGTTGGCAGGCCAAGGCGCCAGAAGCATGGCGGTCTGCAGTGTTTGCGCTAGAGGAAGTCTGGCGAAAATTGCAAGATACATCCACGTGTTTGTGCAGGAGGATGCTAAGACCAGTACGACCCACCCAAAGTTAATATCGCAAGCAGTCAAACTTGAACCCTGTCTCTGCTAAGGCATGTTTTTCTTCGGTCTTGCCAACGCTGGCGTCAAGTCCGGGGCTTTGTATGATGTGCCACGAATGTGCTCCCACAACTCACTGGGGTTCATACTGCACATCTGCTATTCAGCATGAAATGCGCTTTCTTGAAACGCCAGTGGACATTCGGGGCTTTGTTTGGCAGCGGTCTTGCTCTATGAGGGCCCACATGATATACATTCTTCCCCACCCAGTTCTAAACTGCCACATATCGGGCCATTCGGGCCTCTCTTCATTCCCAATGAAACGATGCAACTCCGCGCCGTCAAAATACTTCAGTAAAATTGCTCTCGAGGAATTTCCTGGGGTTTTGTCACCCGATAGCAGTTGCCCTTTTCGTTTGTGGATTAGGCTTCTACTGTTCGTGGGAAGAGAATGCTTGTTCAGAAGGGGTGCCACGAGCCAGCGGCGAGGTTTCGTGTTCGGACTCTTTGATAGGCTTGTGCCTTCAAGTTTAGAAGTGCTGGGAAGCGCAGCGGGCTCGGTTGGGTGTATGTTTTCGCAGCAGAGGTTCTTCAGTGCAAGCTGTAGGGTCGTTGAGAAGGTAGTGGCATTGCTTGTGTGAAGCCTCCAAGGTTGGGCTCAGTTGGAGGCATTACTGCTTGCGTGGGGCTAGCGCACCTTGGTTCCAAAACTGGTGTGGAGATGTGTTGCTGTCTGCAGCAACTTCCGCAGTTGGTAGACATTGTCTGCAGAAGCCTAAATCGCTCCGGCAAGTTCAGAGAGGCATTCAGTGTATGAGGTGTGCAGCATTCTTGCCGCCAAGGCTTCGGATTTGTGAGCTTGCAGTCTTTGTAGACTGTTGTCCTGAGGCTTGTTGTCGGAAAGACCGTGGGCATTGCCGGAATGAGTGCCCTTGGGCCATGTATAGGCAAGGTTGGACACTGTAGCAAGACTTTCATGCTTGGTGCAGGAAATGCTTGCATGCAGTGTCCGTGTCCAGGCGCGCCGTTGCCCAAGGGTCTTGGGATGGCAGATCTGGTCGCTACAGCAGAACCTTGGCAAAGTTCATGAGCCCCATGTAGGCGTCTCTGCTGCTTGCTTGCAAAACGTGTAACATCGTGTAACATGTGTAACTGCATTGCAATGTGTATCTCCCTCAAATCCCCCGTGGCCATCTTGAAGCGTGTTACGACCCTGGCACGTTGGTGAATAAAGGCCTTACGTAGTGAAGGCCTTCCCCATTTGCAGAAAAGATCCCGACTTGAGACGTGCACGGTTCCTGCCAGAAGAAGCCTAGTGGATTTCTGGTGTGAGTAGCACACACTCCGACTCTACAATAAACTTTTTCCTCAACCTTTGATCTTACTTGTGCATCAGAGATGCAGCCCAGTTCTTGAGGCATTGGGCGGGGTTGGCCTCACCGTGGCTCTCTTCGTCGCCAACGAGGCATTCGTCCAGCCGGAGATGCGGGGACAGGCGCCCCGGAGCGGCTACCGTGCTACCGTCACAAAGAATAGCTCAGCCATCCCTCATGATGTCTTGAGCTGGAGAAGCATTACTGGCTCGTGCTGCAACTCCGAGCGCCATATCTGCTAGGAATCACTGATTGCTTTTGATGCCATGCCATGGCGACTGTGCTTGCATGTCTAGAAATCTAGAAGACACGGTGCTTCAGGCGAAGATGGGGGCCGTCTTGTCGACGGGCTGCGGACTAATCGCGTGGCTCATCAAGAAGCTATTCGGAGGCTGGCAGGTTGCACATCTCAGAAGTGCTGCAACTTCAGCATGGGTGTCACATTGAGCTTTCTAAGCCTGCAGTGATTTTACTTTTTACCGGGCAATGGAGCGAAGGTGACCGGGAAGCAACACCTTGGCGCTCACAAGTTACTTCAATAACCCAAGCATTCACATGCATTCACGAAGGGCGGCCCCTATGGAGGTGCTGATCGGTGCTGTAATACGTTGCGCAGTGCCCGCTGTCACAGGTGCCAAAAGTCACAGGGATCGGCGGCCGAGCCTAAATTGCCATTGTGATTGTACCCTTGGATCCTTCTCACAAGGGTACATGTTGCGATCGGTCAACTGAATTCTGGCTTGTCGTGGTCCTAATAGCTGGCGTCACATTTTGTGGCTCGGATGCTCCTTGCATCTAAATATTTCTAGCTGTCAGGGATACACATCCCCCGCATCTAAGGCACTTTCTCCAAATCCCCACTGTTGCTCATTGTTGCACGTTGTCCGGATCCCTTGCCACCTTGCACGTACGTTTCACTATACCTTTGCGCACTTACCCCTGGCGATTTATTGCCCCTATCCTCGATGCTGAGATATCGTTGCAAATACATGCAAATACACACGCCCTTGCTTGATTGTGCTACATACCGTACCATTACCGCTTACATTCCGCTGCTCCTTGCCCTTCCTTTCCACGACGCCCTGACCTTTCTCGCTGCCCTTGCACAACCTGTTTGCTTTAACACGTCTACATCAGAATGGCCGGCTGTTGACCTCTACACATGTAGACAGCTTACACATTGCTTGCATATCAATATCACATGCATGTGCTGGCATGTTGAGATATGAAATCAATATAATGGTCGTTCCATCTTTGCAGGGTCTGGGTTGCATAGTAGATGTGTCCTTCATGAATCTATTCATAAGTTTTGGTGTGATTGTGGAGCAGCTTGGTATCAGTGGGTCAAGGTCTACACCAAGATCAAAAGCCTTCATGATAAGAAGTGTGGCGTTTAGGATATCTGTAAGGACTCTAGCACTCATTATCGAGGCTCGTCTGGTGTCTTCGGAACCCCACAAGGTATCTGATCATTTGCTCTCTGGAATTGACCTCCAAGGTTGGAATCTTTTGCCGGGGTCGTGCCACTTCCCATACCCTCACCGTGATTCCTAACCCGTTGCCGCCTGCGCCCTTGGCTACACCCTCATTCACCTTCACCACTATAGCCTCGCAGAAAGGGCCTTACAGTTACCGTTACAGTACACTTACCAGGAAACCCCTATCGGTGCCGTCACATGTTCAGCATGCGTGCAGCTGCTTGCAGTCTCCTTCGTTATGAAATAGGCAAGCCAAAGCCGCCGGAGCACAGTCAAGAAGGCAAGGAGTGCTGGTCAACAGAGTCTAGATTGATCGCTGTAATCAGAATGCAGCCGAAGAAGGTGAAAAGGCCGCGCAGATTCCGCAGATTGAGGAGGATGAAGCGGGTATCTGGGCTGCAAGTGGCTGGAGTGGGGCAGACTTTGACTTGGGCTGCGTGCCCATCGTGCCCGATGCTCCTGCCGCTGCAGCAACGCCCAGATCAATACATTGCCGCGGCTTGGCCAGGACATGCCACTGTCGAGGCCGATTTGAGTGCAGGAAGTGCAGAAAAGGAGAAACAAGATCTTGGTGCTACCATGTGCCCTCAACAGGTAACAGGTAACAGGTGGAGAGGAGTAGCGGAGTGCTGTCGCAGACGCACTGGCGCGTGGCGCGTTCTTGTGGCGATTATGCGTGAGCTCGCCGGCTGCAGCGTTCGCAATCACCTGTGAAATGTAGAACGCCCGTCAAGAAGACCATCTTCCATGCTACAGAAACACGACCTGAAACAATTTGCTGTTTTGAGCTTGCATGTCCAGGCGAGCTCGTCATCAGGAGGCATTCTAATCTTTGTGAGGATAGATGTGCTACTTCCCTGACAAAGTGCCATCCGGAAAATATATTCAATCCCAGGGGCTGCCACATTCGGCAAAGGCGCAAACAGCACCTGTTTGCCCATGGGTGTCCCTATTCTGTCTGCGCGTGAGAGCGAATGTGTCTCAATTGACCTTTCACCTGAAGATGGCCTATGATTGCGTCGTTTTCATGGTGGTGTGTTTGCAGGCCTCTAGAGTGCGGCTCTTAATTTTTTTACCTGCACGCTTCATCCTCAAAGAAGAAATTAGTAGGCGCAGCAGAATGAGAAATAGTCGTAGCCCGAGGTGCTGTTCGCGTTGTTGTCGTGGCAGTTTTGGGGCTCCATTTCATGCGAAATGCTGGTAGCACCATGGTGAAATTGTCATTTTTTTGCGGTTGGAACATTTGTGCGGATTCGAGGGTTTGTGCACTCCATAAAATTCATCCGAAGCTTGAGGGCTCCAGGTCTCAGGATTCGAACTCTGAAAATTGATGGAGTTTTCGCCCTCGATAGTCGTACAAGTCCTGGACTCAGTTGTGGAAGCTGGCATGGCACGGGGTCTTCATGGATCGTCGCTGCTGTCTTGTTGATAGCGCTATGCCTTCTGACAGCTTGATCCACCTCCTACACACAATGATCCCGATGGGTGAAGCTCAGAGTTGGATATATTGTCATGACTTTTTGTGGGGGCTGGACCTCCGGCTCCTGCGATCTGGCCGCGTGATAGGAAAAGCCAGAATGATCTCTGAGGCAAGTGCAGATGCTCTGAACTTTGGACAGGACTAGCCACCTTCAACCAGCACAAACATGCATGAAAGAATGGCAATTTTGATGCCAAACGAATGGAATACCTGTAAAACAAAATGAGATGAGTGCGTGGGGCACGGGTCCTGCCCTGCTGTGCCAGGGTTGGGAGCTGCAGGGATACTTTGCAGTTGGGCGCTGCAAGGATATTCCGCGGTTGGGCACTGCTGGGATACTTTGCAGCTGGCCACCAAGGATACTCTGCGGTTGGGCATTGCTCGGATACTGGGATGTTCTGCAGTTGGACGGGGCGGTTGGATATTTTGTGGTTGGGCACTGCGTAGAGAGCCAGGAGAACCTAGACGTCTTCAAATCTAACAACCCCACTGTGAATGTGGGAATAATGGACAAAGGAACCATGCTCATGACATGATGACGAGAACAGCATTGGCATCATTATGATGACTGTAACAATTTACAGCATCTTGATGATGCTTCTGGAGTCTGTTTTTTTCTGTGTTGCAGCAACAATTGCTCAGGGGCGGTGCGTTGGGCTTGGCAGTGACGCCTTTTCTTTGAGAAGTGTTTCAAGCTGTCAAGTGGTTTGAGTGCGGAACTCTACTACGCTTCCGGCCCCTCGTTTTTGGACACATCGACCTTGTCCAGAAACGAGGAGTCTGCAGATGTTACCGAGTTCAAATTCACGGCGCATGCCAGCACTTTCAAAGTGTGAATCACGCATGTGTCGCGTTAGTTTTTTTGCAAGCCGCGGAAGTACTACCGCTGTTGCTGTTGCTGCAGCAGGAGTAATGTTGGATCTGGATCAGTGTGCCTCCCAAACAAAAAGGGAACGCTCTATAATACTATAATAAGAAAAACGAAACGAATAGAAGGTCTGAGGGATCCTATGGCTCCTACTGGTATTAAAATGAATAAGGGAAGTTGATGCTTCGGCTTCTATTGAATTCATCAGGACTTGCTCAGTTTCGCTTTCAAGTGAATAGGAAGGGCAAGGTCCTCGGTCTTCATCTTAAAATGCCTGGCCTTGAACAATTCTTAAACGCAAATTATACTTCAAGTAAAATATAGATATTCTATTCAACCAAATAAAAATCGAAATAAAAAGCAATTAGAACCACGTTAGAGTCGCCTCCCTTTAACCCAGCCCCAAAAAAACATTGCATAGCTGGGCCCCGCCCAAGACTTTTATATTGTTGAGGATCAGGGGGTTTGCGGGGCTACTGCCCGAATTTGATTGCCTCGCCTGTTCGAATGAAAGTTTTAATGAGAATCGGCGATTTTGTAGCGTCAGATTCCCGATTCGACACGTAATTGAGCATGGCCTTTTGTCGACAGCCCAGGCCTCTGAAATCTAATAGCATCTTGGTCTCGCAATGTACTCGGCCAAAAAATCCTTGCATCCTTGACTCCTCCAAATCATGTACATTATTGCGGATCAGGGGCTACCCCGTTTGGAATTTGATTACCTAGCTTGTTGGAATAAACGGTTTGATAATGTGGCATCAAACTTCAGGTTCCACAGGTCATAGAGCCGTCCCTTTTTCATGTAATTAAAGGCCTGGCCTTAAACCCAAAACATTTTGGCCTCATCCACATCTTCACCAGGATTTTTTTCCGACGACAAAACTTTACTTTGTTGGCAAACCTCCCAAATCAAATAGGGGTCCAGAATAATTGTATGAGAGCTTTGCTCTATTGCACCCCCCCTCCCCCGCACTAAACAGGATTCAACGTTAGTAGGAGGAGTAGTAGCTGTTGTTTGCTGCTCTGTAGCCCACAGGTAATGGTAATTCTTCTCATTTTTTATTAGTGGTAGCAGGCGCCCTCGCCCCTAGGCACTACGGTTTTCCTAACATTATAAGGACGACAGGTTGATGTAAAGGGAGGGGTGGGGGGGGGGTAGTTCCGTGCGAACAGAACGCATTCGGTAACCAACAACTCGCGAACGTGAAAAGCTCCGAGTTCGAGATTTTGAGCTGCCGCGTGGCTGCTTCATGCACTCATCAACAGCGTGAGAAGATTTGAATATATGGGGATTGGTCTATATTCCCTATAATACGGGGTCCTATACTTGGGTTCCCATTCTAATACGGGGCCCTATATAAATTTCCCCCATTTTGGGAACAGTAATTTGGGGAAACTACCATATAACCACGCAGAGCCCTAACAAAATGGCCACTGCAACAAACTGTTGATAGGTCGTGGCAGGACCCAATATACTAACCTTACCACTGCTACTAGCCGCTTCCTCGGGAAAATTTTAAGTAAAACGTGGTGCCTAGAGGGGTAGTAGTAGTGGTAGTAGTGGTAGTAGTAATAGTAGAAGTAGTTGTACTAGTAGTGCTAGTAGTATCAGTAGTAGTAGTAGTAGTAGTAGGAGCAGCAGCAGCAGCAGGAGTAGTAGTAGTAGTAGTAGTAGTAACTTAGTAGTAGTAGTAGTAGGAGGAGGAGGAGGAGGCCCACCTGGTTAAAAACGCGCTAGTTTTCTGTGATTATGTGAGAGCTCCGCTTGGTGCTGTCTGGGTTTTATCTTGCGATGAACGGTTTCTTTGTATCCAGTGTGTAGGATGCTAGCCCGTCCGGCATCGTGGTGGTGGTGGTGGTGGTGGTGGTGGTGGTGGTGGTGGTGGTGGTGGTGGCCGCCGTTGCCGTCATTGTGGTTGCAGGGGAAGAATAGTAACAGCCTAGTAACAGCAGCAGCGGCAGCGGAGCCTGTAGGAGTCCTGGCAACAAGATCGTCAAGAGTCATTCTCAATCATTCCATCAAGTTTTTGGGTGACCTTGGTGATAAGAGATCAGCAGAAAGAACTTAGCAGATGCAACTGATGCTGGTGTTTTTGCACATTTGTTGTGCTGTTCCAGGTTGAAATGCGTGGTAACTTTGTGGACAGTCCCCAGGATTTGAGCGGCTAGCATATGCTCATGCGCCCTGCCAAAGGGGATAGGGGTTAAAAAAACTTTATAAGCATCAAAAAAAACTTTATAAGCATCAAAAAACAACTTTTTAAGCATTCAAAAGAAACTTATTGCTTATTTAATGGGGA